GCATTTGTTTTTATATGTTAAAGTAGTAACCTGAAAAGCTGTTTTTCCCAGGTGCTCTACATACCTTTCACTTGAATTTTAATGGAACTACAGATAAGCAGTTAGCTGTTACCCTGCCAGCAGAACTCAGTCTGCCACAGGGATTTCCCAGGAGAGCCAGGCAGACCTTAGCACCCACTTTCCTGTGTACAGTGAAGAGGTGGCCTCTGAACAGCGCTGCAGCTGTTTGGCTTCCCAGTAGAGTGATTGCGTCTCGGGCCCCTGTTAAAATGTGCAGGCAGACTGCCTGGTCCATCAGGGCTGCCCCCACCTGGCTATTCTTGCCAGCAGGAAAAGCTGTTCAATTAAATTTTTTGAGGAGCAGTGCACAGCACTGGGAGAGGATTCATTATCTTTTTTATCATGTGGTGCTATCAGGCCAGTGTTAGTGTCTCTGAAGGCCAGTTTAGCTCTCTAGAGAAGTGTAAGTGCTTGCTAAGGCAGAAGGGACAACACTGATGTGCTGCTGGGTAGTTTGTTGCTGATGGGATCATCGTTGTAGTGTAATGTGTGTGTTTGTGCTCATCTCTCTGCAGGAACGCAGCTTTGATTGTAAGATCTGTGGCAAGAGTTTTAAGAGATCTTCTACTCTGTCAACCCACCTGCTCATCCACTCGGACACCCGACCCTATCCGTGCCAGTACTGTGGGAAGCGATTCCACCAGAAATCTGATATGAAGAAACACACCTTCATTCACACAGGTCAGCCCTGCAGCTGCTGGTATTCAGCCCCAACACGAAGGCAGAGGTTTCTCTGCAGCAATCCATTCCTACTCAGCTGGGACAGTACACACACATCTCCCGGTGCTTCTCACTACCCCGCTGCTATTCATGCTATCTGAGCTGTACTTGGGCAAAGGAGGGTGATTTGAATGTGGTTTACTGAACAGCAGCTGCAAAACAACCCAAATCCTAGCAATCCAATCAGTGTTCTCTTAATAGGATCCACCAATGTTTATTCAAAGGGCTTTTGTGTAAGATGATTTGTAGAGTATTATATTCGTGTGGCCTTGATTTACAGCTGAGGTCCCTGGAAAATGACAGATGAATTTGATTGCAGCATTGCTTTTTGCAGGATCTACCAATTTACAATAGGAGCAACAGGAGTCTCCTCCTCTAGATCAAACACTAAACTGGAGGGCTGAGGATCCAGCTCTTAGTCTAAATATTTGTTCAGAGATTGCACTTCCACCCGGACTTTCTGAGAAATGGCTGCAGTTTGATACAAAATGGAAGGAGAGGTGCAGAGTTCTCAAGTTTCACTGTTAGTAATAAACATGGAAACTAATAAAGTGCAGGTGAATCACCAAAGGAAATTGTTTTAAAAATGTCATTCAGTGAGAAGGCAGGTTTATCAGAAATCATTAAAAGAAAATCTTGCCTTTCAGACCTGCACCGTTCACTTAAAGTAGAGGGAAATGAATGATGTGTGAGATATGGAAGAATTTGTAGACATGAAATAATAGCTTTACTGGCCAAACCCAAGGTTCAGATAACAAAAATCCTTTTTCCTGCTGTGTCCACTAGCAGATATCAAGGGTGAAGCCTAAAAATGGCAAATATGTAGAAAGATGGCACTATATGTGGTCCTGCTTGACTGTGACTTTTCTAGGTGATAAGCAGTGAACAATAAATGTTACTTATAAAGATTTTCCACTAGATGGTTGCTGGATGAAAATGAAAATTTAGAAGTAACACAAGTATTTCCATAATAACTTTTTCAAATGAGGCTTGATTAAGTAGAATTTCAGCCAAATTTTGAATCAGTCAAACCCATTATTTTGTTGTGAGATCAGAAACTGTGCCTGGGCTTTTAAACTGCTAATATAAAAACAGGTCCTTAACTGAATCAGGGATTCCGTTCATATGCAGTATATACTTGTGAACTGAGACTTCAGCAAATTTTGTATTATTTTATGATTCTAAGAATCTGATCTTCAAACATCCAGAGAGTTTGTTGCTCCAGCTGAAGTCAGTGGGCTCTGCAGGTGCAAAGCCACTCTGAAAATCTGACTTGGTATTGTGGTTGGGTTCCCTTTTATTCGTTATTTGATAATAAACACTATGAAAACACACTGAGATCCTGCTCCCATGGAGGCCAGTGGAGTTTTGCCACTGAGTGCTCTGTAGAAGTTCCAGAGGCTGCATTTATTCTCATTTACATTATTTGCCTTCAGGAGAACTTCAAGGCTGTGACTGCTAGCATTTCAGTGTGGGGAACAGAGAGAAGAACAGATGTTTGGATAAACCCTGCCCTTCAGGGCTCACTGAATGGCCCTAATACCTCCCTTGGGGACAGATCCCAGCTCACTGGGTTGATCTTAACAACCTCCACCTACCTATTCCCCCTGCCCCTATGCTGATGGTATAGTAATCCATGTCATGCATTCATCACTTTTCAAGGAGTTCCTCACGTTTCTAGGGCACAAAGCCAGTTTAAATTGGACAGAGCCCATGCAGCCAAATATGTTCACAAAGTGTGGTATCCTGAGAGCACTCTGTGCTTCAGACTGCTCCCAGGACTATACTGGGGTGATGGACGTGCATCCAAGTCCAGACCTGCTCAGCTGTAGTGCAGGCTCAACTAATGCTTTGAGGCTCCCAACTGCATGTTTTTTGTAAGAATGACTTCTTAGGTAATCACACAGGAATCTGTTTAATAAGCTGTAAGGCCCAGTGTGCATTTGCTGTTCGCTGTGGTCCCATGTAAGCAGCACGATGCCTCTTTCACACCCTCTCTCATTTTCCCACCTTCTACTTGCAGGTGAGAAGCCTCACAAGTGCCAGGTGTGTGGAAAAGCCTTTAGTCAGAGCTCCAACCTCATCACCCACAGTCGGAAGCACACAGGCTTCAAGCCCTTTGGCTGTGATCTGTGTGGCAAAGGCTTCCAACGAAAGGTGGATTTACGGAGACACCGGGAGACACAGCATGGCCTGAAATGAGCCTCATCTGCAATACGGAAAGCCTACAACACTATGAGAACAGACTCCCTTGGCTTCCTTGCTGGACCCAAGCCATTTCCTGAACACAAACCCTGGCATTATCTTTCTGAACAGAGCTTGAAGAGGAAAGAAGAGGACAGAGCCATGCATTGACAGCTCAACCTGAATGACTGAAAGTAGAAATTAAAGGCTGGCATTTTTCTCTTTCTTTTCTCCTCTTTGTCTCTGAAATAACACTGGAAAATAAGTCTTTTAGATATGAAACCTTGATATTCCAAAGATGGATAAGCTACCAAATGTCTGTAAGGTGGAAAATACTTCTCCCATGGCCATGATGAACCCCTTCAAGTTTTCAGTAGCTTGAATCACCTTGCAGGAAAACATGGGTATAACAGTGTTTACATGGTGCAATGACAGAGAGCCGTCAGCACTTGCCTTGGTTAAGTCCAGTGCTGAATGGGTTCACTCTTGGATGGTTTCCTTTCAGGAAAACCTGGAGGATCAGGACTGTGCAGTTTGACATCTTGCTGGTTTTTAAGCAAAGGTACCAGTTTGGGTCTGAGTCTGCTCTCACTTGTTCTGGTGCAAATCGGGAGCTGCATTATCAGTTATAGAGAGGCCCTTTTTATCCTCCCAGAACTGACTGACTGTCCGTGCAAGGCCTGACTGCCTGAGTGTTTGAGGTATGGGGGGGTTACCTCTTCCTACATCCTGTGGGGAGAAGGAAGTTTGTGAAAAGACCACTGGAAAAGCCAAAGCACAGAATTATGCCTTAGAACTAGAAACCAATCCAACAAGTGATCCTGCCTGAGAAAGGCAGGAGCACAAGGAAGGCACAGACTTTCTGTCCAGAACCATTACTGGCTTCTGCACTCTGGGCTTGTTCTAATAACTGGAAAATAGCTACTCAATAGCATCATTTGTATATTTGGTTTTGTTTTTTTAATTTTTAGAGGGAAACTTTCTGAGGTGGGCAGGAATTATTATAAAAGTATAATTGACTTAATTTGCCTTAAACAACCCTGCATGTACCTCAGTTAAAAAAAAAAGCTGTTTTTACTTTGTTGACAGGTTTGTAAATGTCCTTATTTAGATTTTACAGAGTGTCTTATGTTTCTTGGCACATATTTATTGGAACAATGTTTTAAGTTAATAAAGTATTGAGGATGGTCCAGAGTGATTTTTATTTAATATCTAACTTAAGCACATTTGTGAATGTCAGCCATTACAACAATACAGAGATTGTCAGGAATGCAGAATCTGAGGACAGAATGTAGGCACAGCAGAATTTGCACAAGGTCTGTAGTGATTGGAGAACACTACTGCCATATATATTTGGCCAGCTCCCACTGATTTCAGTTAAACATTTACACTTTTGAAGACTGGGGTATACTGGGCCTAGTGCTATCAGCATGAAAGGGTTTAGAGGAGAAACAGTGGTTTTAAGTGTCTGCTTTGGAAGTGTAGACTGCCAGAAGTCCCTGCTTAGCCCAGGAGAAACTTGAATGTCCCCCCACAAGATTAAATGTCTGTGCCTGGGAGTTTGCAGGGACACCTGAGCAGCAGGTGCATCATTTATACTTAAGCCTGTTGGGACTCAGAGCATTGCCTTTTGCCTGCCTGCCTTGTCAGCAGGGCAGTCTCCATCTGGCAGTTGCAGCCCATACAAAAGAGAAGCAGCAGGAGGATGGAGGGGCTCCCTTGTCCTTTTCCCAGCAGAGTGCAGCATGGCAGCCTGGGCTTTTATATGTGCATGTAATCTTGTGCCCACATGGGTATATACTCTTGTTTTCAGCTTTGTACTTTTATGTTGGATAAACCCAGTGAGCAGAGGCTCCTGTGCCCTGCTGGGCTGGCCCAGCCCTGCGGCACCCTTCCCACCCGAGGGCCGTGGCGCTCTGCCTGCCATGGTGGCACCCAGGTCCCTCTGTGTTTCTGCTTTCTGCCACCCCTGAGAACCTCAGCTGCTTCCCCACAGGTCGCCATCGCAGGCTATGGCTGAAGCGAATCCCCACAGGGCGAACCCACTTGGGCAGGGCTTCGCTGCCAGGCAGGGCTGCCCACACACCGAGCTCTTACTGAACAGCCCAGCAGTGAGTGAGAGAGGCTGTGGCACAGGCACCACAGAAGGTGCCAGGTGCTCTGATGACCACACATGAGGCCCATTATGCTGGATTAATTAATGCAGAAGGTCAGTGTAGGACACTAAGTGTTGATGGGGAGGACCTGTGATGTCCTGGGCCCTGCCCGGGCCAGGGGAGGCTCCAAGGAGTGGCTCATCAAGTGGCACAGGTAGGCTTGGGGTGTCCTAGGGTTATGCTCAGTATTTATTTTACAGGAAAAGGGGTGGTGTGGATGGAGTTGAGTGCTGGCCAGGGGTTCTGGGCATTGGGTGGCTTGGGTGCCAGCCCCTCTGCCCTCAGGAGGGCCTTTCCTGCCGGGCACAGCTTTCCTCCCTCCCTCTGAGCAGGCCTCACTCCAGCAGACCCTGAGCAGGCTCAGTTGCTGGCATTTGCCTTTACGATGACAGTAGCATCGTGTGCCTGTTCCCCTGGAGTGTCCCATTTCCAACAGGGCTACTAGTGTGGTTTGAGCCTCGTGCTGCCCTGCTGTCTGGGGCAGGCAGCCGGGGAGGCAGTGTGGACACAGCCCAGGTGGTGAGAATGTTTTTTATGGGAAGAAACTCAGGTGTTTTTATGGGTTCAAGTGTGTCTCCTGCCAGAGCGTGTTGCAGTTCACTGGTGTGTCTCAGGGGACCAGTGCTGGGCTGCTGCTCAGGCCCAAACTGCCCCCAAATGTCCATGTGTGGCTGCATGGGAAGGTGTTCCCACCTCCCCAGCCCCTCTTGCAGGAGTGCCAGCTGCTGGCTTAGGGAAGATGCAGCTGCCTGTGGAGAAAAGACATAGCTTTAAGGTGGGGAATTGAAATGAAAAAAAGAAGATTTATCTGGGGAGAATCAGAACAGGCTACTGAGAGGCTGCAGTGCAAGTCTGAAGATTGGAAATATCTCTCTCAATGTTATTACTGCGTGCCATTAAAAATGCATTATGCATATTACATTACATTCATGAAGCAGGTTCCATACCTTTTGTTTGCCAGAGTAACAGTAGAAAGGGTAAGGAGAGATGCTGGAGCACACCTTTGTTTCTTTCTGTAAATTTTTAATGACACCTCTAGCTAACCAGTTGGCGAAGCTCAGTTCCTGCATAAAAGTGGAAAGGCAGAGCTATCTACAGGGCGACTAAGCCTTTCAGAAGCTAATTTGAGCTTGTGTTCATCCACGCCAACAATGATTAAATTACCTATCAAGTGTGCAGAGCTATCAGAATTCAGGGCATTGAAAAACAAGGTGAATTTATCTGATTGATGTAAAAGACATGGGTGGAACAAGTGGGTTATAAAAAGAAAAGATCTATTCCTTAAAGATATTATAAAAGTACTTCTCCTGGCAAGCTAATGAACTTGTTACTTTGCTTCCAAAAGTTGTTTTGCCTGCCCGGAAAACAAATTTAGTAGTTGGAATCAAAATGCTTTATCCAAATCAGTTGGCAAGGTGAATTAATTCATGAGGCAGAAACAAAGCAACTTATTAGGTTCCATCCTTATGTCAAGCAGAGATGTTTAAAATTAAAATATGCAAACATCATCTGTGTTTTCTATATAGTCAGTTTTCAAAAGCTGATAGTAACACTCAGATTGGATATTGCAACACAAGTGAGAGAGCAGCTCTTCTGGGTCTTGCTCCTTCCTCAAGCAAAACTTTTGTTACAGCTGATGGGGGGGAGGAAGAGGTTTTTAGAATAAGCCCTGGGTGAAAGATTGCAAGACTCATGCAACTCTATTTGCAAGCTGTGCTGCTCTTGCACGTTGACAAAGGTGTGCTCCTTAAGTCTCTGCATTTTCCATCCTTAAGAGAGAAAAACCAAACAGGTCAGTTGTGTCAAATTCATCTTCAGCATTACCCCAGTTCACATCAGGAATGGATTTTGCCTTTACTATATAAGATTTGGGTTCTACTCTAAACTTAATAGTGAAACTGTCCTTTGGGTGAATTGTGATTTAGAAAAGCACTGAAATATCCATGTAAGTCAATGGAGTGCTTCTCTAGCAGAGACCTTATTAGATGCTTGCTCAGAGTCAAAATTCCAGAGATTTTCTCTGCTGAATCCTCGACCTCACTCCATTGCCAAGCCACATCCTGTATGTCTGTTTTCACCTGCAGTGGAAGTGGCTGCTGAGAATGCCAAGGGTAATTTTTTTTTAATTGTCAGTAGGATAGTGGAAGTTTCCAGGTTTTTTTCCTCCGAGTAATAAAGCACTCTAAATAGATTTAAGGCATGAAAACATCTGTAATGCATTATAAGGTGTGTAAAATGATGGAATCAGATTTGAAAAGATATTTGTGCATCTGAAGCTGCAGAGAGATCTGAATGTACATTGGATATTGGTATCTAGTTGTGTCTTTGACTTCCCTACTGGGGAAAGAAAACAAAACAAAAAACCAATACAGGAGTGTCAGAAAATTTCCAGAGTCTGTCACACGAGTTTGTGATATCCACAACATATGGACTATAAAGAGAGAGAGCACATAAATCTGAAAGTAGTGTTTCATACATTATAAAAGTGCTGGCCACACCTTGTTGGAATAATGTTGCCTAACGGATTAACCTGGAGCATGTGATAAATCTTTTAAATCAGATGAAAGCAAACCACTTTTATTTGCTTGTTCCAACGTGCTGCTTCTCATCTGCATGTTTTTGGGTTTTTTTTAGTAGAGATGTCATAAAAGAATACTGAATAAGACTAACCTAGAAAGAAAATAATATAACAGCTATTGAAAAGATTTTCTTCTTTAAAACCATCCAGCCAACTTTCTGACACACGTGGGATCTGCCAGCCAGCTGGATACTACCATGCATGGGGTACATCCACCCCAGCTTGCCCAGGCCCAGCTTGCCAAGGCACTGGCAGCATTTCATGCTGCAATGCTGGGGTCCTCTGCTCAAGCAGCCCAAAAAGCACCTCAGCTGCTGGCTTGTGCTGCCAGCTCCCTCCTTGGCATGCATGTCAGAGGTGGCTGGGCAGGAGTGCAGCACAGCAGGTGTTTAAAATGGCCAAGATATTCCATTTATGTAGTTACTGTAATAGAGCCAGCTGGCATTAAAGGGAAACTGTAATCCTCTGAGGTGATAGACAGGCCAGTATGACACAAAACTTATGTTTTACACTTTCTTTTTTTTTTTCCCCTATGAATAATACATTCCCAAAACTCACTGATAGGCTCAACGGGTGAGTTCAAAGGGGAAAATCAATGCAAGCAAGAGACAGGAAACTAAGTCCCAGAGTTCAAAAGAATACACTTATCTAAAAAGAAAAGAGGTAAAAATATGTTTTCAGTGTTTCATATAGGAAAGTTGTGTATTGCAGTTAAGAGCCACAACAAATTAATTGTATTTCATTATGTGGTAAGCCAGAAGAGAATAGACATTTACGTGGTCTAAATTGCTTCCAGGGGCTGCTTCTAGCAATTAACTTACACTCTAAATTCCCAATTTCACAAATGGTCAGGTCTGCTTCTCCTGTTGCCTTTTGCCTCTCTGAAACACAGCAGTATGGATAGGCAGGCAGGAGGGTGAGACCAGCTCCCAAAAAGGGAAGGGGTGAAAAATGGTCTTGATGCTCATTATGTAGCTGTTCAACTGTCTGAGCCATGCAGGAATAATGGTTGTGGGTGAAGACATCTTTTATTGCAAACCTGCAGCCAGCGAGTTCAGACCCGCTGGACCAGGATGCTCTTGCTTGCACTGAGTAATAGTGAGTGTGAGTCAGGGTGCTGTCGCCTTGAGCTCTGAGAGCTGGGTCTTCCTGTGTGCTTGTGCTGGGCTTTGTGCCTGACCTTTAGTGTGTACTCTATATATCTGCTGTCAGTTGGTTTTGGAATTATTTGTGTTTTCAGTAGCCTAAATTAACATTAATGGCAATTGAGAAGAGTGTCCCTCTCCCTCCTGTGTGACGTTTCCACCATGGCTGAGGTGTTTTGCTTGTGAGCTCCTCCACTGGGCTGGGCAGCCTCGCTCTCCCCCTGCCCATTTGTCAGCCAGGCCTGGCTCTGGCAGGGCTCACTGCTGCTGTTTCCTATAGGGGTTTGGCAATCTTCGGATTGATTTCTGTGGCCACTTGAGGTGGTGAGGCTGTTTGCCACCTCTCCCTTCATTCCAGGCAAGGGGGGCGATGTTCCAGTGGGTGCTTCCGTCCCAGTTTCCCCAGCCCAAGTTGCATCACAGACCCTTGCAGGATGGAAAAGAACGGTTGCATTTCTGGAAGGAAGGGGTTTTATGCAAGTGGGGTAAGCTGTGTCCTATCTTGCTCTTCCCTAAATTCTGAATTCCTTTGTCTGAAACCTTTCACACCGCTCACAGCAGGACTCCAGCCAGACATGGGGCCATGGAAGAGCACATGCCTGCTTAAGTGTGAAGTGCCTCAAACTGCTGGGCACCAATTAATTTCAGAAGGGGAGATATTTGACTGTTACTTCTCTCTTTTGAGACTGCTGTGGTTTGTTTTTTAACTGTGGCTCTTTCCACTTGCCATTTGGATGTCTGTTTTGTTCCTCTGCATGTTCGGTTGCTTAAATCTTGTTTGAGTAATTTTTTCTGTGAACCTTTGCATGTTGGAGAAGGCTACTGCTGCCTTTGTACTGATGCTCTGGCAAGGTTAAGGACCCTGGTGTTTTAGACTTCAGTAGTGCGTGGAGAGCCAAAATGCTCTATGTAAAACACAAGCATAAGGAGATATGGTTCTCACCCAGGAAGGGTGTTGGATCCTGAGGGTCCCACATAGTAAAGAGTAACACAAAAGGACAACTGCACCGGCTGGGTTGGGTTCTGCCGCTGTTCAACCTAATCAGGGGAAATGCTACAGTTAAGCAGCACAACCAGATGTGCAGCATGTGTTACAGCAAGGGTGCCTGTTGGTGCTGGTAGTGAGAGTCTCCTAGGTAAATGTTACTGCCCTCTTTCCAGTCCTGCTCCTGGTTAGCTATATGGTGGGAATTCAGCTGACAATCAGTGAAGGTCCCTGAGAGCACAAGTACTGGTGGGTGAATCAATCTTCTACAGTGGTGCCACTGCCTCTTGACAAGAGTGGCCTGGCAGTGCTGAAGCAGGGGGGGGAAAAGGTAAAAAATCCACCACCAAAAAATTGTTTCCTTGCACTTTATTTTCCTGAATGGCATAGAAGCCAACAAATACCGGGCCTCACTTTCTACCCAAAAAGCTGCTTCTCATCTTTCT